GAACGAGAGAATAACTCTTTTACTCAGTGTGATTGTTTTTAATGTACTCTTAATTTGATCTGTCCTTGTATATTTTACACATGTTGGTATGGGATATTGTATTTGTTTTAAATGTTATATACTTATGTGGTATGTGTATTTTGACTTTTGTTGACATGATGCCAGGTCTCTCTTGAAAATGAGATTTTTAATCTCAATGAGATTTTTTACCTGGATAAATAAAGGACTAATAAACAAAAAAAAACAGTATCCCTGCAAGTTGAAAAAGGATGATTACTCTGAGCTTTAACGGTGACACCAAATGGTTCCCTGTATAGTCCATATGCAGTGAGGTTATTTTTGAAAATATAACTCTACAATGGAATAGTGTAACAAAAGGAGAAACAACCCGTGAACATTGTGTTCTCCATAATCCCTTCTGTCAGCTGGTCACGAATCTCATCACTTTGCTTGTGTTTCACGGAGACTTGCATTGCCTTGTTGAACTTGTCTGTGTCTCTGAGTGTGGAAACATAATGGAAGTTTGTGTCTGGTTTCTAATAAAGAGAGTGTGTTAGGATCCAAGGGGAAAGAAGAAGTAGGATGAGGATAAAGGGAAAGGGGAATGCTGGCACAAACGCCCAGATCAGATTGAGTCCATATGATAAGAATCAGACTTGTTTCTCAGGGTCTTGTTAATGGTTTTAAATGGGCACCCACATTCTGTGTGACAGCCCGCATCTGTCTCGATGCAGGGCGTGCTTCCACAGGCTCGCCTCCCGCAACCTGATTCCCAGGCCCAGGGATTTACGAGTGCTTCAGCATGTCGGAATAACATGTGTTCAGATTAGGTGCCCACTTCCAGGACTGTAAAACATCTCACAATTTCAAAGGGAAACCTGTGATTGATACACCCCCCTCCCCACTTTGCACCAAAGTGTACATGCGCTCAGATGTGCTACTCTCCTCTGACCTCCACTGACGAAGAGTGACGGTTTCAAACACAGACCTGCCAGAGTTGTTTTACGACTCCCGTTATATTCAGAAAAAGTTTGCCAGAGAGAATTTTTCCATCATCGCTCATTTTTGTGTTGACTGTACGAGGCCAGTGGAGCAGACAAGCTGGGTAATGCTGATTATTTCTGCCTAACCACAGTGTTGTCTTCATCTTTCTTAGAATTTGCCAGAGGCTTGTGAAGCCTTTGCAAAGATCGATGATCCTCAGCATATAAAACGTAATGTCCACAGATAGTTATTCTCAGCACTGATGTATCTAAGGAGAGTGCCAATAGGAGAAAAATGACCTCACTTTCGAGAGCCCTTACTGCAAAAGCATTAAATCACTTCTTCCAGTCTTTCCTCATGAAAATAGATCAGAAATAAGTCTTACTGCTCTAACTCGAAATATCTCTGAAACAGAAATCCAAAAAATGTCTGTTTCTGTTCCTACGGGTATTTGAATGTAACTCCTTGGGGCCTTTTATTAGGGTAACTATGAGTAACTTTCTGAAGGCTAAAAATGGATCGTATATTACAATAAGCAGAAAACAAATTGCATCTGCAACTTTTCTTCTAGATTTAAAATGCAAGCGACCCTGAATACAAAGTGAAATAGGGGTAAAATATTACTTTTACTCTGCATCTTAAAGATTTTCAATACGCTGCCACGTTTTCCTGGAATAATCTCATGAAGATGCTGGAATTATCTGATTACTAAGTTTGAGTCCATTTTATTGGACTAAGAAAATTTCATTCTGAATCAGGTACCTGTCAGCAGGTGAATCTCTTGCTTTTTAGCCCTATGCTGAACACAGTTTCAGAAACTAAAAGATACACAGATCTTTAATGTCAAGATCTTTGTATCTTGACATTAAAGTCCAAAATTGTCACCAAAGGTTCAAGACTGGTTTCTGGTCTCCACAAGGGTACAGCTGTAGTAGCATAGAGGTTACCACCCATGTGATAAGCTGTTTTACACATAAAGGTACCGAAAGCGTAGCATAGATGGATGAAGACATGGTGTGTAGTATAATTAGTCTTTCTGGGAGTGGAGGGTGGATTTGCGATAAGGAACTGGGTGTTAATCATGGTTATCATTGGGTAAGTCTCAGAACTTGAGTCTGAGGGTCTCTGCTGAGGTCTCTGCCTTATGCACGGGGCCTTTCTCTGGATGGTGCTCTGGAGTGGGTCACGGCCCTCCCTGGCAGAGAAAAATGTCCCAGAGAAAAATAGACCTCCCCCCATCCCTCCCCGTCCACAGGGCTACACCAAAGGGACAGCCACTAATCTTCCTGAGAAAGAGATTTCTGCTTTTCTTTCTGTGGTCCTAAATGAGGCTCTTACACTGCTGTGGTTCCACCGAACAGTTCAGAGGTGGAGGAGGGGGTGGGGGCACTCACTGGCCAGAGTTATGCAGGGATGACTCCATTCATGCTATACCCCTGTGCCCCCCTT